AACAAGTTTTTCTACAAGACCGTTAGAACGATGGTCCCCAACTGTACAAAATATTAATTTGATATTAAAAGAATTACAGAATAATTTAAAATCCTGACTAGTAAAACAGGATGTGTGGTCGACACGAATAGAGTTAGGAATCCCATGGAGGTAAAATTAATCTTGAAGGAATTCGATTACCGTGTTTGATGACGTTGAAGATGTACTTTTAGCTGATGGAAATTTTGAGAAACGATCTATACATAATAAAATGTATTTATTCTTTCCCCAGTTGTTATCTAATGGGCCGGCAAAATTGAGGTTAAGTTCCTCATTAGGTTCGGATAAAGCGGGAAGTTCGCTAATTTGTGTGGTAGGTATAATGCTTTTTATATTCTTACCAGTTTGGGTGCATTGTGTACAGTTAATCCCATGGAAGTAGATCTGTCGATTTATGTGAGGCCACCAAATATATTGTGCTAAGTATTTCATACCGAATTGGCCAGGGTGGGATTCGTGTATTGTTTTTAAAACGGCGTTTTGAAGTGTAAAAGGAATAACCAATTTTCCATCCATATATAATAATCCGTCGGATTCGTGAAGGTCTTTCGCAAATTGGTACAGGTAACGGGAATTTGCATTGATGCTTTTAACTTTGTTCTGTAGAGCTTTCACGATTGGGTTTAGCATTTCGTCGTCTTCCGTTAGTAATGCGACCAACTTTGCATTAAATAACGTGTTTAGATCCAAAGGTTTTTCAGGTAACTTGAGATTTTCTCGATATTTTGTTACTAATTTTTTGTGTTCTGATGAAATTTGGAAATCGATTGAGACCTGTATTCCGGAAGTAGAAGGATTTATTAGAATTTAGTTATAAGACAAATTTACATTATTTATAAGTTTAAAATCCGAGGGATTACTAATTAAACTACTATTAAGAATTAAAAAATAAATGAAGGCTGAATTTGATAAAAACGATTTTAGTAGGATCGGTGTTTGAAAAGTCCGAGGGAATGCATTTGGAGTTACAAAGTTCTGTTCTAAAATGGTTTTGATTGCAAATTGGAATGGAAGAATTATTGAAATTCAACGCTGTAATTATTACGTGATTTCGTAATCTCGTGTAATTGGAATTTTCCGAAATTGAACTAATTGAATTACATAATGACTTTTCGTTATCCAACGGATTGAGTGCTTTATATATTTTTTTGGTAGTTTTAACTACGAATTCTTCATCGTAATGTGATGGGGGGATTGCTTTTTGCGAAGGAGATCTTGAAATTAGGTCAGTAAAACCCATATCATTTCCCGCTAAATGCTTCATAGTAAAATTAAATGGTAAAAGACGATCTACCCATCTTGTCAATCGACTATGATACGTTTTGTTTCCGTGATTATGTGACAGAGCGGAAAGGAGAGCTTTGTGGTCGGTAATAATTTCAAATTCTGAGCCGTAGAGATAGTTTTTTTAATGTTCTACCGCCCATACAACTCCTAATAACTCTAATTCGTTTGTTGAATATTTGGATTCGTGAGGATTTAAAAATCTTGAAGTGAACTATACTGTTTTCCAGTCGTTCATGTGGAGTTGATCGAGGGATGCACCTAACCCGTTATGTGAAGTGTCAGTTTTTACTCTCGTGGATCTTTTAACGTCGAAGTGAGTGTTTTCTGTGAGATTGACTATTTCTAATTTTATCTTATCGAACGCTTTTGTGTGAACTTCATTCCAAAAGAAAATTGACTTCTTGTTTAAAAGTGGTCTTAGCGGGCTTCCGAGGGATGCTAAATTTGGTACGAAATTGATGTACTGATTAGTTGACCCAAAGAATGATCTTAATTCCTTTAGGTTTTTTGGAATTGGGATATCTTTAATCGCTTTGGTTTTATCGATTAGTGGAGCGATTCCCGATTTTGATATTTTAAAACCGAGCCATTCAATTTCTTTTTGGAAAAATTTGCATTTCGACCATTTAACTGCGAAATTGTAACTATCTAACGTTGATAAAGTTTTATAGACAATTTTCTTGTGGTCGATAAAACTTCCTTTGGAAGCGACTAAAATGTCGTCAAGGTATTAATTTGTAAAAGGAATATTTCCCAGTGTTGAGTCCATGACACTTTGAAATTCATTTGGCATATCGCGGAGTCCGTAAAAACCGGTTAGGAATTGATATGTGCCCGTTATATCTCCGCCAACCAGGCTAAAATTGCATTGACTGTTAGTAAAATTGTCTAACGAAAGTTGACTATATGCATTCTTTAGATCTAGATTGGTGAACCACACTTCACCGGCGGAGTTGTTGGAAATTTGATCCGCTACGTTATCCACTAATTCGTGTATGTTGGACATCTGGTATTTGTTCTTGTAAATTTGTTTGTTAATATTTTTTGAATCTAGGGCTAGCTTTATCGATTTGTCCTTTTTACAAGTGATAACTATCGGACTAATAAATCTGTCCTCGTCGCAATTTTCTAATTTTTTGATATGTCCTTCTGATTTGAGTCTGCACAATTCTGTTTTTACTGAATCCAGTAATTGTAGTGGGACTCGCCTACCTTTTAGTTGAATTGGCTTTAGTGGTTCGTGAAAGTGTGTTATTTTTGTTTGTTTTTTGATTTTTCCAATCCGAAGGAATAATTGTTTGAAAGTCTTGGAAATCATGTCTATTTCGTTCTCTTTGTCAAGTGATGTAATTGAATTGATAGACTTACAAGTTTTTTTGTTGGTGTGTAGTGGGTAGTATTTTTGTGAAACTTCTATTCCCACTTTTGGCAAGTTGTCATTCCCCAAGATGTTTCTTTCATGTCCTTGTGTTAGGAAGAAGTGGCATTCCTTATGAGACCATCCATTTGAGAAAAAGGGAACGATTACTTTTCCAGTGATGTTTATTGCATTGTTCGTAAATCCGCAATAAAGTTCTTTAGTCGCTTGGTCCACTGGATATATCTTCACATAAGGGTCTCGTAACTTCAACTCGTGTAGAACGTTTTGTTTGAGGAAACTCACGGGGCTAGCTGAATCCACCTGTATATTGAGAATTACTTGGTTTTCGCTTCCTAGACCGATGTTTAGTAGTTTCTTCAATTCCTTTCCTTGATCGTCGTAGATAGTTGTTACGTTTAATACAGAGTAATCATCGTTATCGCTCTGTCCGGACTCCGACCATGCGTTGATTACTCCACGGCATTCTCTATTAACGCGGTCGTTATTTACATCCGATTGTTCCGAAGGATAATTACAATCTGTATTATATACAATTTGACTATCTACAATATTTACATTTTTATGGCGTGATTTACAGAGTCTAGTAAATTGTCCTCGATATTTACAAGTCGTACAGGTCGTATCTTTTGCGGGGCAAACCGCCAGATGTCCTTTGGTGAAACTTCCGCCGCATTTCATACACGTGTTGTTCCTTTCAATGTTCAGGGTGGGTTCTCTTTTTACATTAAAATGATTAAAAGATTTATTGGAAGGGTATCCGCTGGATTTAAAAGTACTCGTCATTTTGATGTGGTTTTTTATTCCTTTTTCATCGATCAATGCCACATTTAAAGCTTCTAGTGGGGGTAGAGTTTCCGTAAGAAGTTTCCGTTGAATGTCCGGGTTCTTCATATTATTGATAAATTTATCTCGGATCCACTCGTCTTCTCCTGTGGGAATGTCACATCTTTTTGCCATTTCTGCTAATGCCCCCCAGAATTGTTCTAGCGATTCTCTGACCCTCTGTTTTCTATTCAACAGCTTGTGTCTTTCGAAGGTTATGTTTTCTTTCTCACAAAAGCTATAGACAAATTTTCCCAGAATTCTTTGAAAGAAATTTGTAAAACTTTAACTCTCGTGAACTTTTCGCCGAATATTTTCTTTCCTTCGTTTCCAAGGGCTAAATAAAGTATGAATCTGAGTTTTTTGTCCGCCTCTTCTAGTCTCATGCCGTTAAATTTCTTAGTTTCTGACTTAATTGAGGCCATTTCTTTGTCATCGAACCTCTTTTGCTCGCGGATATTTCTCTCAATGCGAGATGTTTTTTGAGCATCGGATTCGTTTTCCGGTGGATTTTCTAGTGTTGGAGGGAGTGGGTGATATCGTTCCGTTGGATTTAAGAGATTTTCGATATCGATGTTTTCCTTTGCGATTATTGCTAGTTGGAATAAGTCGCTCCACTCTTCCCAAGAAATTGGTGGGTCCACTGTGTGGTTTTGCCAGAATGAAGGTATACCTCTCACGTTTGATTCGTTACTGTTGACTGCGCCATGATAAAATGTTTCTTTCTTACGGATAATTCTACTTAGTTACAATTAAGATATGTTTAAAAGTGAATTAATCTCTGTATTAAAACATTAAAAAAGTGAGAGATCATTCTCTCCGCCGGAGAGAATGAACATACCAAGGTCAAATATAAATTAACCAGTTAAAGTAATTTAAGACTAATTAAATGAAATAAGAAGAATGGTATGATTCGCAACAGGCGGTCTTTCGAGAAATCTTTGAAAATTTGACTTTTTTGTTAGGTCGATCAACGTGATTTCTGGGCTCTCCGAAAAGACTATAAAGAACTTATTCTGTCAAAAATATTTCGCGCCGCTTACAATTTTTAAAGAAAAACTGGTTAAAATAGAAAAAGCGCTTTTAGTTTTAAAAAAAATTGACCAAAAAACTGCGTTTTTTGCCACGCTCTTCCCCACAGCGCGCTAAAAAATAATTTTGGCAGGGCGATTTTAGTACATTTTTGGGGTTGCCAGCCAAAAACAGATCTCGTTAAATCATACCAACGTACAAAAAGGGGGACCCTTTGGAAAAATATGGCAACCAGAATTGAGGTACAGCGGCCGGTCGACAAAGCCACCCCCCCCCCCCCCCCCACATCAGCGAGCTCCTGGTACTAACTTAAACATGTAAAGTTTGCAAAATTTGGATGGTGGCTACAGAGCTCAAAAATTGAAATTGTTGCCGTTTTTTTTTCAATCATGAACTGTCTTGAACTGTGACTTAAGATGAGTCCAACTTTTCTTTTCAGTTCTTTTCATCCGCGAGAACTGGGAAGACTATGAGAAGGCGAACAACTACAGCCACGAGAACAATTTGGAGCCAGTCAAGTTTAACGAACCCCCCAATTTCTCCCATTGGACATATGGCCAATTAGTGGAGCAACTCGTGTGTGCAATTACGAAAACAAGCGGAAAACTGACAAGAAGCCTCCGCGAAGGTAATAAACTTAGATTTTTGATGGACCAGTCTTTTTCACGGACGTACAAAACACATTTGGTTTGTTTGGTTTTTGGATATATCAAAAACTCAATCATAAAATGAACAAGGCTAGCCGGTTTTTGTGAAAGTAGCACAGTATGTTCCGACCACAGCAATTGAAGTTAAAAAGTTCGAAAAGTTTTTTTTGCGAAATTTACTCGTTTTTTTTTCATTCAGAAGAAAAAACAATTGAATCAAGTCAAAAACTGCAAAATTTAGAAGAAACAATTGTATTGAGAGTCCGGTGTCATTCATAAATTTTTTGTATTTAGTCTGAAAACGAAAAAGTTCAGGCCAGTTTTTTTTTTTAAATACAGCTTTTTCTAATTATTATGATTTTTAAATCACGGCTTTAAAGCTTCGATTTGATGCGGTTCTTGACTTTGTTCGAGTTTTCAGTGATATAGTCGAATATGGACCGAAAAAAAAACAGGCTTATCGATAGATCCTTCCCTTCATTTCGTAAAGTGGTCGGAACACGAAAAAGTGCTATGGCTTGCTCTAGTTTTCATATTGTTAGTGCATTCACCGAGTAGAGCATAACTTGGACAACTCCTAGGCAAATTCTATAAGAATCTTAATAACAAAACTATAGCTGGTTGTTTTGCAAGTAGCAAAAAATGTTCAGACGATTGATTTAATTATAGGTCATAAAAAAGTATGGAATTTTAGAAGAAAATCGAGAAAATCCTATTTTTTCTCAATTACCTGTTTTTTTTTCAAGAAAAGAGTGATTTAATTGGATGAGAAAAACTGAAAGCTAAAACGGGAGCCATCAAATCCAGTGTCGTCAAATTCAGCATCATTACATTCCTTGTAGACTGAGACAATTTTTAATCAGGGCTTTAGTAAGGCGCTACTCTTGACTTCTTTCTGAGCTTGCTTTTTCTACAGTTTTTACTGAGTGCTACAACTGCAGTAGAATTCGGGTAGCACATTTCGTAAAAGATTCTTGGAAAAGACTCTCAAATCACTAAAAGTTTTCTTTGTTCTTTGAAAACGTTTTTTGAGTAACCAGTCGTTTTTAATCATTTTTTGGTTCATTGAAATTTTTGTGGTAAAAAAAGAATAAGGCGGTTAGTGAGAGCTTGTCTTAACACAGTTTTCTCTGCCATTGTTTTTTAAAACTTTTAAAATTAATTGATAACTTGCCCCTTCGTAAATACTAATCATAATAAATTGTTTCCAAGTGATTTCATTGCAAGAACGTAATTACAAGTTAAGAATTCTTATACAAAAACTTCAAATGATTGTTTTCCTAAAAATATCGTTTGCCTTTTTTTGCTGAATCTTGAACGAAGCGAATTTCTATTTATATAGATCTAGGTCTTGTGATATAGGTCTTGTGATTCTTCGTTTTTTTTCAGGAAATTTTTAAGTTTTGTTCAAGCTTAAACTTTTTTTCTATTTGATTTTTTATAGCCTCAATTCAACTTATATTGCTGAAAAGAAGACAAATTAAGCTCTCCAATTAAGAAAGTGTAAATAATGCAAACATTAATTGTGACTGATTTGAGCTCGGAAACTGAGTTTAATTTCTAGATTTCTCTGCGGAGCGGAAAGTTACTTACTGATTTTTGTCTCAGTTTGTTTCATCAAAAAATGTCAATCATATAGGTTTCTTGTTTACTAAGCGCACAGTACGGGTGCTGTTCGCATGCTTAGTAATAAAGCTTAAGGTATAAGTCTCACTTTGAATCGTCAAAGTTTTTGACGAAAGCTTAAGTTCAAACAAAAGTTAGAAAAGAGTATAAATTTATATAATGGATAGTAAAATAAAAAATGCTGTAAAATTGAATGAACAACTCTTTTAAGTTCGAACTGGCATGAGATCAATATTTAGTTCTTCCATTAAAACAAACTCTTAATTTGTCCGCAGTCCTTGTCTAGACTGCTGATTGAATTGTCCACTCATTGTCTCTTAGATTGTTGGGTCCTCTTTTCTTCAAGATTCGCGATGCTGCTTTTGTTTTTCTGGATTTTATAGAAAAATTGAGATCTTATTTTAATACCTTTTGCGAAAGTAAAAACAAACAATAGGAAAAAAAAACATAAATTTTCAGGAAAATGTTAGCTCGACTGAGCGAGTGGAAATGGGAATGAATTTATGAAGATTTTAGACCGGTCCATTTTTTATGAGAGAATACTTTAAAATACCTTTGTCTAAATCTAACCTTCGTCGGCTTCGTTTTCTTGGATATCTGTTTTATCTTCCGTTCTTTAGGAAGTTTTGAAAGACACTTTTTTCAAACTTTTTCAGAAAGTATTTAATCATTCGGTCTTTGATATGCTTGTGTTGTATTTCTTTGTGTCCTTTTTAGGCTGCAAAAAGACCGCGTGCTCATCGCTTTTTGTCTCTTTTTCAAGGCAGGGCATTGTAACCTATCAGATTGTAAGGCGACATACTTTCTTATGATTATCCGTCGAATTAGTCCGTGAAAAAGTATTGGATTTTTTACAAACGAATTACAAAGCTTGAAACAAATTGGACTAGTTCTTGAAACGTTGACAAACTTAAAGTGGAAAAGAATCCACTCTTATTTTAAGTGAACACTTCTGAAAAAATTAGCCTTTCAAGTCCGTGTAGTGTTTTCAAAACTACAACTCAATCCCTTCTTTAGATAGACAGCTGTTCGATACTTATGTTTACAATGGTATCAAATTATGTATATAAATCGTAAAATATGTTTAGTTTAAATATTTGAAGATGACATTACAGTTGAAGTTGAAGTCAAATTGTTAAAAATTGAAATGAAACAGTTGGAATCTTTCGTTTTTTTCTTTTTTTCACTGTTTTGCGTTCATACTTCTTGTTTTTGATATCATAGACGATTTAGCCAATTGTTCCTCGCTGTCTTGATTTTGACAAAGCTCATAATCACCGAATCCAGATTGCAACTCTGTTGAGAGTTGGTAGATTGGGTTTGATGGTACTATTCTAGATGATCAAAGCTGCAGTGAAACCTTGCTAGCATCTTTCTGTTCTGATTGAAGTTGTGTTAAATTTAACTGAGAGGTTACAGTTCATAACCGATTCAAACTCCGTTGTCAAACGTCCTTATACAGTTTCATTTTCTGTTTATAACAGATTCTGAATATGTGATTATTTTTTCATAACCAAGCTAAGTAACGTAATTTTTTGTGTCCTACACAAATCAAAATTGTTTATCTTTGTGTTCTACGCAACTTTACCACGATGGAAATTTAAAAAAAAAATCAATTTCTCAGTTGCATGCTGGCCGTAACATAATTAACACAGCATGTAGTTCTAGACAGTAAGACTTTGCGGTCACATAGATAAATGCCTGAAAAAATAGAAAATTGTAATGATGGTGAGTCCAAAATAAACAAATAGACAACATGTCAGAATAAGAAACAGTTTTGTTTCAATTTTGACAAGAAACAGAAGATATTTAAAGTAAAAACAAAACGAAATGAAATATCAAAGAACAAGTAACTGAGAAACCAATAAAAAAGTGTTTTATAAAATAAGGTTAATGGATTATTTATGTTTCTCCTCGGTTGTAAGTTTTTCTACAGGTTCGTTTTCTTAGTTTTATTTTAGAAAAATATTTTTCTGACGTAAACATTTTTAATAATGATATGGACTAATTTTCAAAGTTTGCTTCCAAAATTTTTTTTAATTATGGGATATAAATGATTGCGTGTAGTGGATTCTTTATTACCGAATTGATAATTTGACTAAAATTTTGAGGAGCGAAACACTAGAGCCTCAGGGGCTGTACACAGTCACCAACAATCATTTGCGTTGGATAAAAAAATCGTACCGGCAAGTGAAAAAGGCTCCAAATAGCCAACAACAATTGTTCATGAATCTGCGGCGGGTTGGGTCGAAGACTTTTTTTGCCCGTTGTTTGATAAGTAAAATTGGTAAAAACCATTGTGCTCAAATTGTTGAGAATGAAAGAGATGTTATTTCCTCTTAAGATCAACTTCTGCTAGTTTGCAATTTGTAATTTGAAAAGTATTAACAATTATTGTCATCGGCTCCTTCTTGGATCCTGAAAGGATAGAGGATACCGATGGTGCTAATTGGTTTCGCAAAATAAGTTTGTTATAATTTCGCGTTGGCTTTTTCGTTTATCAAAGGTTTCACTGTTTTGATTCTCGTTGTTGTGTGGTGGTTAAATTTGCATCCGCTTTCTAGTCCGTGCATGGTAGTGGAGTGCCGTAAGAGTTTTGTACTTGTTTTGCTTCTAGGTTTTCTCAAAGTTGAATTTTTGCATGCGTGTTGCATAGTTTCATATCAATTTAAGAAAATAAAGCAAGCAGCTTTAAGATAAAAATTTTTCTTCGATTTTTGAAAGTAGATTTTAGTGTCCAGATTCCCCCGCGGACTAAAAGCAGGATAATCATATGGTTTTTAATTGACTTTTTTTAGGTGAGTTTTATGAAACAATCTCTATCATTGATGCTCGGAAAAGACTCAAGTCATGTAACTTTTTTTTGAAAATGCTTCATAAGTAGTCCGGCGTTTTTATTCGTTTTTTTGTTCATTGACACTTTTCCAGCTGTTTGTTGGCTATGTTCTAGGAATTGGTTTCCTTGAGTTCATTACGACAACAAATCTCTTGGCTATGTTTTTGGATTTTGATCTTGTTTTTTTTTGTTCTACTTTTAATTCACCGCAGAGGAGTTGAACTGTTTAAGTAGTGATTAGTTTACATGAAAACTTTGCTATTTCTGGAAATATGTCCATTTTTCCAGCGGGAAGTAGCGATGAGAGTCTGGATTCAGCAGGAGGGGAAGGTAACGGCCACACCTTCATGCTGGTGGAGAGACTGACATGTGACAAACACGTGATCAGAATTCTCCCTTTTGCCCACAAGGTGGATCCAACACTGCTTCCCATGTGCGTGCTCATGGAGTGCAGCATGTTCCTGGTCGGATTCCAGATGCTGGCTATGTTGACCTGCGAGGGCGAAGTTAGTTGGTCTAACTTCTTGAGTGCATCGGAAAAATTTTGGCATCTAGCTGACTATTTTTTTCCTTTTGAAAAAGTGGTTACCATTATATATTCAGTATTCGATTATGCTCAACCATTGGTCTTGCTTTATTGTGTTGGATTTTAGTAATTGGTTATCATAGATAGATTTTTTAAGACTTGAAATTTTCTCTTTTTCCGAAAAAAAAGATTTGTTGATAATTACTTGAAATAATTTGAACAAAGATTTATGGAGTTGGAGTTTTATAGCTGGAGTTCTTTCAGACTGAACGAGGTGACTCGAGGAAAACGCGCGAGTTTGAGGTTGACCACGTGCGGTTGAAGTGGAACCGCAAAGAACAGAAGCCTTTGAAGTCAGAAAAGAGTAAGTGGCTGGAAAACTTCCACAAAAAATGTCATTAAGATTCATCTACTTTTCGGCTCATTGTGTTTGCCCTGTGTTATGCTATTTTTTCATGCTTAAGTTACGTTCCTCAAAAAAGGCGTTGTCTTAACCAAATCAATGGTTTTCATATTTACTTGAATTCATTTATCAAGAAACATTACTTTATTAATGAAATTAACGCAATATGTTCTCTGGAAGGGCTGTTGAAAGAGCATTTTAGCTCATCGCCAACCGCTTTGGAAAGATAAAACAAGAGGACAAGTAGAAAGGTGGGCTCCTATACTAAAGAGGTTTCATAAAAAACTCATTATCTATAATGTAGTCATTGCAAAAACTTTATTGAAATTTTTTGAATTTGCTTGTTTTCAGGCTTTTAATATCTTTGGAAATTAGATGAGACTATATTTAGTGGTTTCTGTAAGAAGCCTGCGCATGGCTCTTTGGCTATCACATCGGGACAATTGTACTTTTTTGTTTCGTTTTTCCTAGCAATTCATTTAGTAGTAAAATTTGGAACTTGATTACAAGAAGCCACAGGCGCCGATTAAAAATGATAACCATTTTTGGTTTATGGAATCCAACTCATTTGTTTTTTTTGAACGCAGGATTCCACGCTGTACCTATGCATCTGACAGTGAAAGTGAACCTAGCCAGACTGAACCGCAAGGGATCATCAGAGATGAAACAACTGTGTCTGTCCGATTTCCAACTCTACTTCGGCGCCCTCTCCTCAAAGTCTGGCGGAATCCTTAAAGACAAACCCAAGGACGCCAAGCTATGGTGAGACATTTCATTTGGAAATTAATGACTATGGATTTTAATTTATAGAGTTTTCATCGAAACATAAGACATTATCCATTTATCCATATTTCTATAAATTTCTTAAATAGTTTCTCAAAAGATTTCTGGAATTTTAACGAGCTTCACAATGATTTTATTTTCTTTGAACTTCAAATAATCATGAAAATGATCTTTTTCGATTACCTTTAGTTGATTGACTTTTTTCTAACTATCTATTGACTAGGTTATAGTTAGATCACTTGAATTAACCAAGCTTGAAGCAGCGAATTAATTTTTAATCCGACTTTCGTAACTAAAGAAACGGAATATTTGTGCTCGGGGTGGGTTTTTTCTTCAGACAAATTTCGACTTTTTAACAAGCCATTTTTGACGAAAATTTTTAATATCATTCAAAAGCTTTTGTTGTCCTGAGTTTAAACTTAAAAAGATATTTCACCTGTGATCATTTTTTGGCGGAATTAAAGTTATCGGAGTTTAAAGATTGCCATTTTGGCCGATTTGGGACAATTAACGCGCGATATATTTCGCGCTATTGATGCGTAATCAGAGATTGAATCTTTTTTTAGAAATCGTTCCAAATTCTCTCAAGGAAGCTTATATGCCATAATTTATTTGTTAATAGGAGCAAAATCTATCATTTTGTACTTAATATGACGTGTGGGGGGATGATTTTCACAAAAAATCTCAAATTACAAAAAAAAACTTCAATTTAATTTAATACATTTAATTTTTTTATGTTAATACTGCTCCATAGAACTTAAAAGGCAGCCGGAACATTCAGAGCTTTGCCCTGATACGGGCAGTTTTGTTTTCTCTCGTCATTTTTCAGTTTTTTTTGCAAATTCAGCTGTGCTTGGATCCTTCTATTGTACTGACTAATCTTGTGCTGTTTTGTGATTTTTAAATTTCTTCTTGGTTATCCCATAATTAGGATCTTACAATTAGGACCCCTAATTAGCGCTGACAATCGCCACCTGGACCTACTCAAAGTACTCCCTCTTTTCATTTTCTTGTTATGAAATGGTTTTATTTATAAATTATTTTTTTTGCAAATTTTTCATTTTCAACAAACTCACATTTTTTTCATATTAAGGATCTTTGGTATACAGTAAGTTACCTTTATTTAATTTTATAGTATTTTTTATACCATAGAATTTATTTGTTTGATGCAGCTCTTATTTGTTTGATGCAGCCATTTTGGCCGCAGCTCTTGTTTTCTTTGAAGAAGCTGACTTATTGTGTGATAGGAAATTGAACTTATTTTTTTTTGTTTTGGCTTGCTTCTAATAATTTTTTGTTTTGTTCTTTTCCATTTTTGTTTTGAGCAGTTCCTTTTTTCAATGAAAATTAAAACCTGATGGTATCAAATTTATTGCTTTGCAAATTCAAAAATTACATTTTTTATAAACAAAACATTTTTTGATAAACTTATTTTTGAATTTGTCGTTTTTGATTACTTCGTTTCTTTACTGTATCCAAATTAGTTAGTTTCTTTTGCAGTTTCGAGAAAATAGAATCTTCCTTTTATCTTTTTGTTTTGTACCTTTTTTTGGGAAGAATTCAATTGTTTTGTTTGACCGGTGACATTTAATCAATTTGGTTTTTCAATAAAAACCAGTTTCAGTTTTTGATTTCATTTTAGGCATAAGGCTAAATATACTTTGGTTCGTTTTTGTGATATCCTATACGGTATCTTGTTGGAAAACTAGTGATAATTCCAGAATGTTTTCTTTGTTGCTTGAATTAATTGTTTTCTCTGTCTGTTTTATAGTCACTGAGAGTGATACGGCAGATTCAAACTCTGAGCTCTCAGCTTTGTAACAATGTGTCTGAACGCGTGACCTTGGACACATCATAATAATAATTTTTGATAGCACTGAAGGTTATTATTACATAATGCGATTACTGCTATTGCAGTAGCAGTATGACATACCCCCTCGAGTGGAAAATAAATTTTTCTATATATGAAAAAATTTCTACTATAAAGAGTTTTATACACTCAGTTCACAAAGAGTTCCCGAATTTGGAAGATTTTTTAATTGCAGTCTTTCAATTTTCTTAGTTTTCTTCCAGGTCGATTCTCCAGTAAGGATTACAATTTATACCTTTGTCCAGCGTTGCGTAGCCGATTTTCCTCCTGAATAAGTCTTTCCAGTAGGCGTGATTTGGACTCTATAGGCATGTCGCTCCGTTCTTTGAAGTCCGTTAGTCTTCTTCGGTACTCGTGGAGTGCGGCCTCAAGAAGTGCTCCCTCTGACAACTCCTCCGATACTTCCTTGATGGAATGTTTGACTGGGTCCCCAAACTGTTTTGGCTCTTTACTCTTAGTCTGTCTTGAGCTTCGTGGGACTCCCGATTCTTCGGCGCTAGAATCGTCTGAAACTCCCTGAGGAGGCTCAAATCTCGTTTCTTGTTCAGATGCTGGCTGAACATGTCCTCTGAAATCGTCCGCGACCTTTTGAATCCCCCTCTTGAGAAGTTGGTCCGCAAAATTCTCCCACTCCGCTGGTGCCAGGTTTCGGTTTTGAAATGTGTCGAGGATGTCCTCAGGTCGTGTTTCTGGGTCTATCTTCTTCAGTTTGGCCTTTTGTTTGTTTTTTGGAGTGGAGCTCAATTGAACATTTTTATTTGAGATATCCAAAGTGGATGTTGATTGTTAGTTGCTCTGGTCGACTGCGGTAGCAGTTTGTTTGGGGGATTTTTCCGGTTTATCGTCTGGTTTCTTGCCTTTCGTTTTTTCTTTGATTTCTTTAATGCAACCTCTTCCTGAGTTTTGGGTCCAGGTATCGAACTACGGCCCGCTGTATTTCGCTTCACTCGTTTGAGTGCAAGATTTAGACCCCCTCCAGCTTCCGTGTCGTTTGAGGTTTTGACTGTTTGGCTTTGTTGGAACTGATCCACCGGGTTCACAAAATCTGCTAGTTCCACGGCCCGTCGCAGTTTTTCATCCGAATCAATGTCCTCTAAATTTTCTGAGGAACTGATTCTTTGAAGCTTCTTGTGTGGTTCCGCCGATGAGTTTTTGCTTTCACTCCGCGTTATTTTCTGTGAATTGATCCTGTCGACGTTTTGACTGTCGAACTTGTTTCTGTCGATATTTTCCCCTTAAGCGATTTTGTGAGCGCTTGGCCACTCTTACGTAATTCGTCCTTAAGCAAAATTGTCTTCTTCGGACACTGCGTATTTTCCTGTTCCTTATCTCCTATGAATCCCTTCTCCCAGGAGCAGATCATCTCTTTTCGTAGTTCTGGGTTAGATAGGCCTGTTTCATCAACAACCCGCCGTATGTTGTTTTTCGCTGCGTCCCTTCTTTCCTCGTTCCAGCGAGCGTTCGCTTCCAGTAATTCCTTGAGAGCTTTTGCTCTCTGACGATCCCTGTCTGAGTGTAATTGCTGTTAATGCAGTGGGCTGGTGTCCCTGCTGAGTTCCTCCTTTCTGACTATCTTCAGATTCTCCCTGAATTGTTCAATTCTTCGCTTTAGCTAAGATGCCGTTAGCGCCGATCGTTCCAGATGCTGTTTGTCTAAAAAGTCAGAATTGTTCATAAACTTATCACTTAAGATTTTAAATTCGTTTTTTCGAAGTCTGCCGAACTGTGCCTGGAAAGGAGATACTTGTATTGTTTTCTGCTTGTTCCACCGTAAGTCTCGCATTATGGTACGAAGACATAGTTTTATCGATCGGTTTTTTTATTCTTACAAAATTGCCCCCAATCTTTGTTTTATGGTTTGTATTGTTCGTTCTACTAGACCGCAACCCCGATGATCACCCACCGGACAGTGTTTTTCTTCGATATTAAGTTCAGTGCAAAATTTTTTGAGTGTTTTCCCTTTAAATTGTGAAGATTGGTCAGATCGTATTAATTCTGGATTGCCATGTGTGTCTATATATGATCTTAAGAATTTTACCGTACACTTTCCACTTGTTGATTTCGTGACCTTTATCGAAAGAATTTCCCAGAATCTATCTATAGCTACCAGAAGGTAGATCTTTTTTCCTCGGTGGTTTTTTAACGGTCCCGCGTAATCTAATTGTACTTCTTGGCCCGTTTGCGTGAGCAGTAGCAGTGGTTTTGACGCATTTTTTGGAATTAGATATTTTACGTTCTTACCATATCTGGTGCAACTACGACAATCTTCCGCGAGGTTGACTATGTCTTTATGCATATGCGGCCACCACAGGTATTGTGACACTCCTATTATAGCCTCTTGACCCGGATGTCCCCGATGAATTCGTTTGAGCACAGCTTGTCTCAGTTGAAGAGGTACTGCCAGTCTGTTGTTCATCAGAATGCAATCGTCCTGCACCGCCATCTGCGACCACAATGGATTCGTATACGGTCCCATCAGCTCGAAGCCCTGGTTGTCTTCTCTCTCTCTATGACTCGTCTGAGGCGGTCCATCCACGTGTCCTCTGAAGTCAATTCTGTCAGGATACTTTTATCAAACAATTTGGTGAGATTGTCCAGTGACTCCTCCGTTTGCTGTTTCTGCAGCTTCTGTTCCTTTTGTTTATTGGACCTTTTGGGCGGTTCGATCGCGCACCCCTCTTGGTCGCTCTCCATGTCTTCTGTGGTTGTCAGATCCACCTCGATTACTTGAACATCGCTCAATTTTCTTTCGTCTGGATGAGCCGGTGTGATCCTGATTGGTACTTGATCGGTTTCCCTCGGAAATTTATCGGTCTCTTCCGATGTTGCCACTAGTTCCCGATTGATGTTTCTTGTAGTGTTTGATTCTCCCCCGATCAATTGCCAGAACAAAAGTAACCTGCTGTCCGTCTCTTTTTGTTGGTTCGGTTGCAATTGCCATTTAACTCTTAATTGAATTCTTGTCTCGCTGTCCGTGCTGTCTCTGTTTTTCCGACCTCCGCGAATTATTTTTCTTGTGCGTTGCAGTGTCTCCGTAACCTCCTCCTCCTTGGACAATTCGTTTGTGTTCGACAGGGAGCGATTCCGCTTCGGGTCCAGAATACTCTCCTCTGTCATCATTTTTCCATTCCTGTGGTGTATCCGACCACCAGTCGTGTGAACGATTGAAGTTTTCTGACATCTCCTTTCGTGAGTCTGTTTTTTTTCTGAGTTTCATTGACTGATTGTTGAATTGTTTTTGCAGTTTCTTGAAACGACCGTTTGCTGGGTTGAAATGAAAAAAAAATTATCTGTTTTCTTTGTGAGCTGCTGTTTAGCTTTTTGGACGGTCGCGGAAGTTGTTTTTTCTCGTTCCGGTCGAGCTTTGTTCGTTTTTGACCGTTTTGGTTGCCATAGCAACCACTAAGCGATGACTGTTTTGCAACATTCCTTCTAGAATGTCTTAGAACGCTTTCGTTCCGGTTGAGCGTTCCAGTGCTTTCTAGCCTACTGCTCATGCAGTATAACGCTTCGTGAAAAGAGTTTATTTTGCCACTACAAACCTTTCGTCTAATTCCTATTCGGGCCAAGGATCATAATAAGGATCACGCGATAAATAATCGACTATCCCCATGTCCCTCTCCGGAATGTGAACTATTTTAAATTGATATTGCAACAATCGATCGACCCACCGGGTCAATCAGGATTGATAGGTTTTTAGTTGACTTGTTCCCATCTAAGGCTGATGTTAGGGCTTTGTTGTCTGTTGCGATGGTAAATGTTTTACCTAAATGGTAATGTTTGTATCTGTCAACTGCCCAAACAACTGTAAGTAACTCCAGTTTATTTCTTGACTTTTTTTTCTTGTATATTTAGGTATCTGGATGCAAATGAGATCGGAACCCACGATCCTTCATCTGTTTGTTGTTCTAATGTAGCCCCCAAACCATTGTGGCTTGCGTCACATTTAACTCTTGTTTCATGATTAGCGTCATAGTAGTTTAAATTTGAAATATTCGCTACTGCGTTTTGACGGCATCAAACACCACCGTGTGTTCATCAACCCACTCAAATTTTTCAGCTTTTCCTTTTGATTCTACTCTTTGAGAAATGGCCGCAACCTTTCTGTTAAGCTTGCCGCGTTGGGTATGATTTTTGCTAGATGATTTATACTACCCAGAAATAATCTTATTTGCTAAAGCGATTTTAGTGGATTTAGAGTTTGCATCGCTTCGATTTTAGTAAAGTTTGGACTGACCCCTGACTCCGAAAAGTGATGTCCCAACCAGTTCACCTGGTTTTTGAAGAATTCGCATTTCAAAATCTTTAATGCCAGATTTTCATCATCCAATTTTTTCAGTACCGTTTCTACTAATTTGTCATGTTCTATTTCACTACCTTTCGACACAATGAGAATGTCGTCCAAAAAACAAAAAGTGTTTTTTGCGTGGTTAATAGTTCTGTCAATAGCTTTTTGAAATTTGGCTGGCATGTCTGCTAATCCATAGAACCCTGTAAAGAATCTATACGTCCCGGTAGCCTTTCCACCAACGATATTGAAGTTACACTGCTTAGCTGTGTCTGCAGCCAATTTTAACTGGCTATACGCGTTTTTAAATCCAACACTGTGAAGTAAAGTGTGCCCTCTTTGTTTTCTGTAACTATTTGGCTTACCCCATCTATGAGTTCATCTACATTGGGCATTTTATATTTGTTTTTGAACAATAATTGCAAGTTAATCAGTTTGGCGTTCATCGCCAATTTTATCGAATCGTCCTTTTTTACTGTTATTACAATTCGGGCTATAAAGCAATCACTTGTACATTTGTCCAGTTTTGTGATATGACCTTCTGTCAACAGTTTTTCAATTTCTTTTTCTACCTTGTCCTGTATATGAATTGGGATTATTTTCCTCTTTTCTGGAATCGGACATAGAGGGTACTTGAATTTTGACTTTACAATGTGATTTTTTGAGATTCCTTGTCTATCAAACAAATCTCTAAATTTATCAAAGAATTTGTTTTCCCAACCTTGTGACTGCTCGCACATGAGCACGTCAAACCTGGACAGTTCTCTTGGAGGTGGTTTTTGTGTGGTGGCTATCCCCACTTGTCCTTGTAAACCCAATCCCATTATGCATCTGGCTTTACGTTCCGTTACCAGAAAAGTGGCTCCTTTCACCTCTCAGCCTGTCGAACGAAGATTTGTCTTCAATGCCCCCAATACACAGATTGGTTGTTTATTGTAGTCGACGAACTGGGTAGCCAAGTTCAGTTTATCGGACGGAATGAATCTTGCTGTTTGGTTTATCGATTATTTCTTTTGTCGTCGCCCAATTTAAGAAAGAGACTGGACTTCCGGTATCTACCGTCAGTTGTATGATTTGATTATCTATTCTCACCATGGCCTTCAGTGGTTTTACCCTGTTCGACGTTGGGTCTCGGAGTAAGTCAATTTTTTAACTCTTATCTTTTCCCCATTTAACTTTTTATTGCTTTCGTTAATTCTATTGCCCACAACTTTCGAGATTCTTTCGTTTTCCGGCCGGTGTGTTTGTATTGACATTACTTCAAAATCACTACATGAGCCGAAGTTTTCTTTATAAGATCACATTCCTCTTGTGATTTTTTTTTGGTTTTTTCCGTGACTTCACTCACTTGCTGAGATCTACACATTTTTGCAAAGTGTTTGTGTTTTCAGCAATTCTTACAAGTTTTGCCCAGTGCCGAACAGCTTTTTAGATGTCCCTGGTCAAATGCTCCTCCGCATCTATTACATGGTTTAGTTTTCCCATTGGAGTTTCTGTTGTTAATTTGTCGTTTATTCGCTTCCCTCTTTTAATGTTGATTTTTTGTGTTTCCTGTTGAGTTCCTGACAGCCATCACTGGTTCTTGTTTTATTCTCACCCCAGAGTTGTAGTTGTTGCCCGTTCCTACTGTTGCTACTGCATTTGTCTTCTGAAATGCCATTGTAGTCAATTTGCTATGTTCGAATTTTATAGCTCTTTTCAACACTTCCTCTGGATCTAGCGTTTCAAATGTCAGTGTATCTTGCAACCTCATATTTTTCATTTTCGAAATGAATAGGTCACGAAAGATCTAATTTTCCAGTGTTCCAAGTCCTAATCTGGCTGCTTGAGCAGTTAATGCTGCTTGTAAGGCCTCCAGTGATTCCCCGGATTGTAGCATTCGTGTGAACAATTTATAGCTTTCATAAGTCACGCACTTTACCTTTTGAAACGAGACCGCTGCTAGCTCTGTAATATCCCTGAACGACATTTTGGAAATTTCGGCGTGGGGATTTTCTGCAAAAACCTCTTCTTTCCTTCAGTCCCTAGAGAGAAGAATAATCTGGATACAAGCTTCTTCTGTACCTCATTATAAAAAACATTGTGGTCAACCCTTGGGCCCCGTGTTTTTCTCCTCATCTTCCAGCATTACTCGATCTCTTGCTAGCTTATCTCTAAGATTTCTGGCTATCGTCGCAGCTTCATTCTCTCCCTCTCGTGGCGTTTCTGGTCGTAGAGGTGGTTCTTCTAAGATGTCTTTTGGTTCCTCCAACATAACTTCCGGGTATACATTTTCTTTCACAGTTACTGCCATTAGAAATTGTTCGAACCAGATTTTAAATTGTCACGGTGGGTCTTAACTTGCTGACGCCCAAAATACGGGTATTCCCATATCAGTACGATTATCCTGAGCTGCGAATCCTGCTGACTGCGCCATGTGATATCGTATGCGGTATCTTGTTGGAAAACTAGTGATAATTCAAGAATGTATTCTTTGTTGCTTGAATTAATTGTTTTCTCTGTCCATTTTATAGTCACCGAGAGTGATACAGCAGATTCAAATTCTGAGCTCTCAGATGTGTACCAATGTCTCCAAACGCGTGATTTTGGACACATCATAATAATAATTTTTACCACTGAAAGTTATTATTACATCATGCGATTACTGCTATTGCAGTAGCAGTATGACAGTTTCCGTTGATTTTGGCTTTTACAGTTTTTCATCATTTTCGCTTCAATTTGTTTTCCATACTTTCCATTTTTCAGTTTTTGTTTCGAACCGTAGCGGCAACACGGTAGCACAGAATCTTCCGTCAACACTAATTACAAAAAGTAAAAAATGAAAAAAAAATTGAAATTAGGAAAAAAAATTTTGATTTTTTTTTGTAAAATTCGAGTTTTTGGTAAAGGGAGACTGACTTAGACTAAAATCTGCAATAATGAGAAGTAACAACGCTTAAATTTATCAAAACTTTGCTAATTAAAAAATGTTAAATTTGTAGTGAAAAGTCAGCCTCTCATCAACTTTTGTATAATTTCGTCTGCAAATTGAAATTTTGTCGAACATTTTTTCTTGACTATGAGACAGTTTTTAAATGGACATAGAATCCAATCAGGACCCATAGGGCTTTAATATGATACCCCACTTGTGACCTACTATGAGCTTTCTTTGAGGTAGTCAAAATTGGCTGAAAAAAAAACGGATCCATATGTCATTGTATATTCCAGTCGTTTTCAGTGACGTGGTCGGAGGAAGAAGAAACAACGCTTTCTAAAAAAAGTTCCGTAAACCAGGCAAAATTAGAACCTTTTTCATGCTTCAGGAGATGTTTGCATTAATATTAGTCGGCGTGAATTTTTCAAAAAATATCTTTTCTCCATCGTAAATGCTCCCTTTCCCGTACTAGTTTTCTTTTAGTAAAATCAATTTTTTTTAGTCTAAATTTCATATCACGAACGTTACTCGATTGGTCCTTTCGCTCGCATTAGACTAAAACTCAAAAATTTCAAACCGGTTTTTCTCGATATATCCGGCTGCGACACAATTAAAAATGAGGAATGTGTGTGTTGTTTTCAGGAAGAAATCGCTGTCGCTGATTGGAGACAACTATTGTCACATCCTCACTTTCAGAGACACCTCCACCATGATGAGCTGCTTCTGGAGTCTACAACACGCCAAGGTCACATTACGCTTCTTTGTTTACTTATCATCCATCACACACATCAGTTTTTATGGTGTTTCATGTGGCTTTTGCAAGGTTTAGTATGAATACTCCTATGCTGGTGTGGATCTAGGATTTTTTCGGTTTGTCGGACAGTATAAAGACCCAGCTTAGCCAAAATTTTGTGAGCTTTTGAAGAAAAAAAACGTGCCAACAATGACGTTCTATGGAACGGTTTCTTGAAGTTGAGCAACCAATTGAGGAAAAAAGTCGCTGTCCTCTAATTATGTGCAATTTTGTGGCAGTTGTGCAAATCAAAAGTTTATTGCTGGTGTATTATTCATGGATATCGTAAAATAGTACTAAACGGGGACCTTTTGTGCGGTCAAGGGGTCGAATATCAGAGGGAAGGTGTCGAATATCTGAGGGAAGGTGTCGAATATCAGAGGGAAGGTGTCGAATATCAGAGGGAAGGTGTCGAATATCAGAGGGAAGGTGTCGAATATCAGAGGGAAGGTGTCGAGTCCGCTAGGGTCACTAAGATTCTGCCACAACCATTCTAATTAAAAATTTGCAAAACATACTTGATTTTGGGCGAAAATTCTTTGTTCCTAATAGTCCTTGTTCCTTGTCTAAGAAGTTTTATTGGTATTATGATTTGTAGCTGGGTGGCTCTGGAGTTGACGAATGGATCCCTCGCCACAGACTAGACAACATTCCTCGCAGGAGTCGCATTACGAACCCAGTTACATCAGGCTACATGCCACTGATCAATAGCCGCGAGCAAAGGTTGTCTACTGGATCAGCCGCTTCCCATGGCTCGCTTGGCCAAGCGTCCTATCTTGGCAATGGGGGCAACCACAGTTCACCAGCCGATACGGTAAATAAATTTCTGAATAAAATTAAATTATCAATGATTAACTATTTTTATTTTTGATTACTATAAAAAATAGATAGTTCCTTTTTAGAGATAGTTAGTTAGTGACCAAATTGATTTTCGCAGCCCTCTCAAAACACTATGAAGACCCTATTTTGACCAAGTTTCCTGCACCAGTATGTCTGTATTCAGGCAACTAGCGTTTCCTTGCTTTTTTGAAAGTTAAGGGATTTTGAATTTTATCTGATTCATGCGTCGGAAAATTGCCCTTTTTTAAAATGGTTTGTGGTTCAGCGGAAACCAGAAGTGCTTCTAGAATTCTAATGTTAATTTGAACTCAAATGGGGCCGAGAAATACAAAATAGCTAATGAAATTCCTAAAAACTAACTTTCGAACTTCGATTTAGTAGTTAACTTTAAAAACTGTAAAATTAAGAGTTTTTCACTGGTTTCATTAAGCCCTAGTTCATTCTATTTCAGGGCTCATAAAATTAATGAAGGGAATCAATTTAATTGGCCGGCTCACTTGCCTATGCTTGGATTTTCCTGTTCTCGATACAAGTCAGCTCATCGATTAAGAACTAATCATTTAATTTTAATCATCTAATCAAATTGCAAACACTCGTTTTGGAAAATTCTGAGAGTATTATGATTTGTGTAGCTTTTCGACGGAATCACTCGTCTTAGAAGAACCAAATTACAAAGTAGTATTCACCAATCAAATTTCAAAATCAAAAATATTTAAAAATGTTAGGGAAAAAGTGTTATGGTTGAGATAAGATAAATTTATTAAATTGTTAAAGGCGACAGAGATAAATGCTTGTGTAAAGAACCAAACAGGCGATTAATTAATGATCTATTAAGGTGTATTGCTCTGACTTTCGTAACGAAAATAACGGAATATTTGTGCTCGGGTTGAGTTTTTTCTTCTTCAGACAAATTTCGACTTTTCAACTAGCTATTTTTGACGGAATTTCTTATATCATTCGAACGGTAATGTTGTCCTGGGCTTAAACTTGAAAAGATATTTCACCTGTGATTGTTCTTCGCAAAGTTATGGGGGTTTAAAGGTTGCCATTTTGCCAGTTTGAGACAATTAACGCGCGATATATTTCGCGCTGTTAACGCGTAAGCGGAGATTTAATCCGTCTTAGAAATAGTTCCAAATTGGTTGAAGGAAGCTTATTTGCCATAATTGATTTGTTACTAGGAACGAAATATATCACTTTGTACTATGCATGGCGTCTGGGGAGATGATTTTCGCAAAAATCTCAAACTTAAAAAATATATATATATTTTTTTACATTTATTTTTTCATATTTTTACTGCTCCATTGACCTTAAAAGCCAGTCGGAGCATTCAGGACCTCGCCCTGATACGAGCAGTTTTGTTCTAATCTATTCTAGTTTTTCAAAAGTTCTAGGAGACTCCGCTCATAACAGAGCAAAGAAGAATAGATTGGCACAGAGGCTTTAAGTAGTATTTTGGTAAGGCCTTCGCTTAAAAATCTTCATATCTTGTATTCGTTTCCCTGATATGGTAAAGATCTGTGAGTACGAGCTCTGTGAGTACGAGCTCTCACTTTTCCTCTAGCTCAAGCCTGGCCAATTTCGGCTGCAATTGTGGGACAATGTGAAAGTTCTAGATGCAAAAACTCAAGGCCGCTTTTTTCGCATCTAGAACCTTCAAAACAAAAGAACTTCGCGTAACAAAACAAGACTGCTCGTATATCAGGGCAAAGCTGTTTTCGCATCTAGCCTGCTGTTTTTGCATCTAGAACGTTCAAAACAAAAGAACTCCGCATAACAAAACAAGACTGCTCGTATTTGAGGGCAAAGAAAATATTGAAAACCTATAAACTTTGGACAATATCAAAATGTGAAATAATGTGTCAGAAGAAATTAATACGACCGATCCGATTAGCTAGCCTCAATACAATTCACCACGCATAGATAATTCGCGTTACGCTCTCAGCAATATGAATAAAGTAAATTCTTCAAAGCGCTCATAATTTAGCCCAGAACATGGCCAATTTGGCAATTTCAAACCCCCAGAACTTTCAATCGGTGGTGAAATATCCTCCTAAATTTGAACTCAGGAATTCGATATCTTCAATGAAGTATTACAAAAATTTTTAATGAAAACTATCATTTTGATCAGCGAAAATTGACTGAATAAAAAAACCACACCGAGCTTAAATATTCCGTTTTCTTTGAAAGTCGGAACAAAAACTTAAGTTAGAATGTGGGTAATTATAAGAATCGGAGCGTGCTCACACGGGACTGATAAGCGTTTCATAGATCCTAAGTGATTTGTTGAATCGCTTTAATTTTATTGGTGTAGCCCTGAATGTTCCGACTGTCCCTTAATTCATATCAAATAGTTTTTGGGAAACGAAAATCATGAAAAACTATAAACTTTAGACAATATCAAAGTGTGAGTCGTACGAAATTAATACGAGCGATCCGATTACCTAGCCTCAATTCAATTTGGAACGATTTTTTGTGCGGAATAAAAATGAATAAATTCTTTAACGCGCCCATAATATAGTCTAGAACATGGCCAACATCTGTTTAAATTTGAACTCAGGAAACTCATATCTTCAATGGGGCATAAAAAGTTTTTGTCGAAAACTATTATTTCGATCGGCGAAAATTGCTTGAATAAAAAAACCACACCGAGCATAAGTATTCCGTTTTCTTCAATTGTCGGAACAATTAAGTTTGCTAAATTAGAGATTCACGTCACTGACGAATAGCAAATAAGACTACTCGTACAAAGGCGAAACTTTGTATGTTCCTACTGTCGTCTAAAGACGATCAAAATCATTTGGGTTAATTTTTATGTTTTTTTTCTTTCATCGGCCACGTGATATGTTTTGCCTGCGGGTTTCCTAGAGTCTTACTCGAACGTTTTACCCCATACTTTCTTCGCACCCACACCCTCTAAATGAGTTTCATCACGTTAATCATCAAGCTAAATGCCAGAAAATTAAAGGTTCCCGTTTTTAAAACATAAGTTTTGATTGCGTCGGAGTAAATTAGTAAACGCCAAATTAAGGCACAACTTTCTAGTAAAAAGTCACTTACTTCAATTATCAATAAAGATAGCCGGTTGCTGAAATTTTCCTAAAATTGCCTAAAAACGCCTTTTTGGCATTTTTTTCACAAATTTGTCTGCGGCGCAGAAAGTTTCGTCAAAATGGGGTCTTCATAGTGATTTGGTCGAGCTCAGAAAATCAATTTGGTCGACCTAAAAAAAGGTCGACAAAATTTTCGAAAATTTTTGAAAATCCGCCTGCCCTTCGACAAAATACTAGATTCGCCCCTGTTCACAGAGAATGACAAGTTTGTCCAGCAAGGTGGCAATAATAACCACGAAATCACCCTGCGCAAAACTGAAGCCCGAAAAGTATCCAAAGTGTAAGAAATATCAGCAAAAGTTGCATCCGTTGCATCAATTTGATATTCCGTCAGTATTTCAGAGATCAGGGAAATTTTACATTCTTGTCTTTTGATCTGAACTGTATTTTTTCATAAGTTGACCAGGAACTGAAATCATTTTCGATTTTTCTACACTTGCGCAAAATTTTAAACGCTTTTCAATTTTTGTTCCGACTATCGAAGAAAACGGAATATTTATTGGTCTTTTTATCAGCACTTTCGTCAATTTAAACCTATTGGTCTTGATTGTAACTAAATGTAGAAACTTCAGGAAGCTAGTGTGAGTTTGAGTGTTCTGCAGGTCAAACTAGAGCTACAATACTTAGTCAATAGCTTAAAAAAGTGCTGAACTAGCTTGCAAATATCTATTCGCTAGCTTTCACTGCTGTGCTTGCGTTGTATCGCAAGTGACGCGAAGCTCCGCTTCGCTTCTGTGTAAAACTGGCGGTCTACTAATTCATAATTTGAACGATGTAGAACATTTTTGTTGGACTATAGCTTGAGCGATTCAAAGTATTTTGACTGATCTGAACTTTTAGCCATTCGAACTTTGTTTCTTGAAAACGTTACTCTTTTTTCTTAGGCTTCTGCGACTGAACATGGAGTGGGAGGCGGAGAAGGTGGGAATGGCAGAAGGACTGGGGGAATGAGTGCTCAAAGCGTGATATCCAACAGACTGAGCAGATCAGTGGATATGCTACAAGTTAGTTTAATCACTAGCTCACGGAATCATCTTGTAAATGAGAACACTTCAAATTATTTTTGAACCTTTTTTTTGTATTTTGTATTGGCGATGACGCCTTGAAAGATATTTTCGAGAAGTATAACATCCGACGGTGACAGTACATACTGCATTTGTCTCTGCCCCTACAATTATCCTTTCTTTGAGGATTCTCTAACTTTATTGAGACTTTTTTGAAAGTAATCTTAAGAATTTCTCAATTTTTCGCATAATTTTTTGAGCAAAGTTACCTGATTATGACCTCTACTTCGTTTTTGAAACTCTTCTCGCGAAACACGAAAAAAAAAGAATGGCGGTCCTCTGCATAAATCACTGAACTTCGAATTTCTGCAACAATTTTTTTAGTCAATTCAGGAGCCTCTAACTTCTTTACCCGTGCACTTGCAAGAAACACCAGGAGTAAGTACATCATGTTACCTCGATTGTTTGGAGCTCATGCCAAAAGTTGTGCGCCATTAGTAGTCTTGGCCTCTTCAGGATAGCCATATCAAACTTCAGTGCTATAATTGCTTGCTCGGGCGGTGTATGACTAGCATAAAGCTCGACTAGCATTTAAATTTCAAAACTGAAAATCGTATCGACTAGCTGAAAAACTTAAACGGAAAAACAAATAGTGTCAAAATTGAAATAAACAAAACACAAAAAATATGTATACATGCACATCTCATTTTTCCACACATTTTACAATTCGTGCGGCGATCAGTGTTCGGTTCAAGCCATGACAGTTCGAGGGTGTGACTGATCATCATTTAGGTGCTGAGGAATTTCATTTGCTTGTCGATTGCTTAATTTTTTGTTCGAGGTTTTTGCTATTCGAGCTTTATGCTAGTCGAGCGGTTACCCTTGCTCGGCCCATTATCTTTCGGAAGTTTTTTAAAAAAAAAGATGTTAAGGAAAATATTTTCCAATAAAAAGAACATATATACTTTAGCAAAAATGTTGTTTGCATATTGGACGAAGTTTCTTGCACACATTTTGGCATGGACTACAGGGTTGATTTACATTATATCCGGGCAAAACAAGCAGAATTGAAAATTTCTGACACATTTTCTCAAAATAGGTTGACTTTGGACGAAAACTGACAAACCGATTACTGTGGTGTAACTTATTTTACTATATTCGGATTCAAACAAATAATTTCAAAAATGGGTCCTTTTAGTTAAAAAAAATTACGATAAAACTACTGAGTAAATGCTGAGTAAGATATAACCCAACGAAGCCTGTTATATAGACCAACAAAATTTGACAAGGTTATGTTCTTCCAAATTTCGTATAAATCAAAATATTTTGGTCTGATAGAAGAAAAAATGACTCTCTTAAAAAACACCTTTTTTTCAAAAAAAAATAAAAAAAATTTGCGAAAAATTTTTTGGACAATATAAGGCGCTAAATTTGGTATAATTTAATCGGCGGTGGACATAGTAGTTTATGCACTTTTTATGACACATTTTTAGGTAAAATTTTTGGTTTGTTTTTTTTTTTTGAAACATTTACTCCATAGTAATTTGCTTAAATTTTAACCAACCTTCGTTCTCTTCACTTTTTTTCTGAAGTCAACCTAATTTCAGAACAACGCGTTTAAAATGTCTTATTTTGATAGTGTTGCCCGGTCAATTTAAATTAGCTCTAATTACGTTGAAACTCAGTTCATGAAACAAAAACCCATGAAACATCACCCAGTTATTTTCACTTCCGAATGGCATTCACTGGTTCACCCAACATTTGAAAATTGTCCAGTTCTGTCAAAATTGCCTAGTTTAAATTCAAATTTCCAAAACAAAGATGTCAGTATAAACTCTCTGTGACTATTGAAGAATCAAAGAAAAAAACACTCCGACCCGACCATTGTAGCCAATCAAGTTGAATAGATCTGGGTTTTTTTTTCAGTTTGTGGGAAAAGATAAAAGAAGCTCGAGTTCCCGATTGACGATGGCGTTGAAAAAGGTTTGTCACTTCATTTTATAGATGGATTAGTATCGCTGAAAAACGTCCAGCCCCGTGGTGATTTTTTTATTTTACTTCTAATTGGCCATAAAAGTTAACTGCATACAATTGATACATCAAAAAATTGAGCATGATGATCAGTTTTTTTCAGGAGATCTTGGCAACCATTGTTAACTGTAATTGAAATCGTTTTCCTCAATAAGCGAGATGGCGATTCGATCCATTTTGATTCTTACTTTCAGATTCTCTAATTATTGAAGGTAAGACTTAGTTTTAGCCCAGTGCAATTGATTTTGTTTCAATGTCTAACTGCTGTTTTAAGTCGAATGATGTTGCTTAGCTAATATGACAATGACTGGTTGTCTGAAATAATAAAGCTTTAACTGTTTCGGCTGCTTTCTCATTCTGTTGTAACTTTAAAATTGAGCCTAATGCTTCCTTAAATAGTATTGAAAGTTTTCTGCTAAAAGCTCCGTTGCTATTGAGGGCAAAACTTGTAACTAGAAAAGCGAAAAGATCTTCATTAAATGTCGGAATCCAAGTTAATTGCTTTTTGCTATTCTGTTTTACTTTATTGAAATATATCCAACTTGACTCGATCACTAAGTATGGCATTCAAAAACCTGAAAAAATATCATCTGCGGCATTCCACAACATCAAAAAATTTGCGAAAACCTCATTACACATGAAAAATTTAAAAAATTAAAACCAACATTCGATTACAAAACGAACGAATAACATAATCGGGCTGATACTTCTTCTGTGCTTTCTAGTCCCGAGATACGAACTCTTCAACAAAAGTAGCCCCAAATTCAATCTCCATGATTGAAGATTAAATGGTCGCCAGCGATTTTTGAGCTTTGAACATCAATATCTGTTAAATGGCTAAAAACAATTCCGCTAAAATGGCTATTTAATAAGTCTAAATATGTCTGGAGAAGAAAAACACCCGAGTAAAATATTCTGTCACTTTCGTTGAATTTTGGAACAACAAGGCTGTACATATCAAGTCGAAACATTTTTTCTCCAGGAGCAATGTCTAGCACCAGGGGCGGATTTAGGGGGGGGGGCGGACGCTCCCCCCTCAGGGATTCGAACCCCTGCCAACCCAAAGGGTCCCCCCTTTGCTACTTTTTAAGAAATCCATTTTTGCCCGACTGACCCTAAAATTTTTCTAAAGGCGCCTTTGGCGCCAATATATACTAATTTTGAGGGGGAGCGCGCGCCAAAAAAAACGTGTTTTTTTTGTCAAAATTTTCCAAAAAGTGCCCAAAAACGGCTTTTTTGACCTGTTTTTTCAAAAAATTGCCTGCGGCGCAGAAAATTTGGTCAAAACAGGGTCTTTTTACTGCTTTGGGAGAGCTCGGAAAATCAATCTGATGGACCTAAAAAAAAAAATCCGCCCCCCCTCGAGAAAATCCTAGATCCGCCCCTGTCTAGCACAAAACACCTCGAAAGATTTTTTCTCCAGGAGCAATGTCAATCACAATAAACAATTTTTGGTCAAATTATTAATCAAATGGATCAATTATTTCGCCGCAATCCAGTTTAGCATCAATAAAGAGTTGGAATAAATTACTACCAACACTATAGGGTAATAATGAAACGGCAAGTTTCAAACATCAATAAATAAGAAATTTTGAGAGTTTCGCACAAATAGGAAATTTGAGCGCGAAAAATTATCCCATTTTCAAGCCTGTTGAGAAGAACAACGTCTATTTCATCGAAAGTCCTGCCAAAAAGATCCAAAAAAAATAATTTGTAGCATTGCAGAATGCAAGATCTCAAGTATCAAAATATCAAAATTTCGATATATTTATCTTCAAAAGCAGATGCTGGGGGTTTAACGTTTCAATCGAGTTCATTAAAATGCATTCTTTGAATTTCAATACATCTTGAAACTCAAAGAGGGTTAAGGTCATGTACTTTTATTTTGAAATTCGAAAGTTTAATTTCAAAAACAAGTCAGTTTTTTTTTGTTTCTTTGCATTCATTACTCTTTTCCAGCTGTCATGGCTAGTTTTTTTCTTTTTATGTGGTTTCTCAATTTTGCATTTTGGGTTAAGACAAAGTTTCATTTGGATTCAGATACCAAATATTGTTGAAAGCACCGTTGAATTTGTAACTAGAAAAGCGAAAAGATCTTCATTAAATGTCGGAATCCAAGTTAATTTGGATTCCAAGTGTTTTGAAAAGAAAGGCGAAATTGTGTCCTCGAAATGAGCGCCTATTTGAAGCTATTGCATGCTAGTCGACTTACATGCTTAACACCCCCTTGATATAGCTGGAGAAATGTGTGATGATGTGGTTACGTAGGAGCAGACAATTGAAGTTTCATACCAGTCAAGGAGATTTTTTTTAGCAACTATGCCAATGGGCCGCACCTATAATTAACAAATTTATTAATCAGTGCTTGCAGTGACGACTAGTTTTGTGAAAAATTTTATGTCGAATCCACAACCGCTAAATAATGGCATGGTTCTTGCTACATGGCCAAAAATTAATTCTCTGGGACATTAATTTCCAAATTTTTGTTTTTTGTAAACCTTTTTTTGACGAGTTTTTTAAAAAACCCTAAAGAATAAAAGATGAAATTATGAAAACAAAACTCAATCAATTTTACTACGATAGGCAAAATAATAATTTAGGCTTGCTAAAAACAAGGCAGTTTTCTCAATTAAACCTCTAACTGGCTCTTTTCTTTTCTGCCGTTTTTTCAGCAGAAATTGCATAAATATGAGCCCAAATGCATTTTAATGGTCATATAAGTTATGTTTTGAGTATATTTCCAGAAAAGATCCAATGCTCGAGATATCAGCCCAGAATTTCTAATTAAATTTGATCTGATTTCTCAGTAAAATCGACCCGAAAATTTTTCTTTATCACTTAGGTACAACAGAAAACATCCCCACTGCACTTGGCGGCAAAAAGTTTTTAAATTAGTTAAATTCTTTAAATTTAATTCAAATAAATTCGATTATATGAGTTTTGACCGGTATAAAACTTGGGTTGTATGCTTGTGAATCGCTCACTTTAGGTTGCCGGTGTTTTTTTTCTGATAAAGTTTTGGGGTCTAATGCACTGAACGGCCCAAAATAAGTATTTCTACATCTTGATCTTAAGTCAATATATGGCTGAGTCTGATTGGTTCATTAGCCATCCAAATGCAAACAACATGGTCGGCATTTCAATTAAAATTTAAAGCAGATCAACTTATTGACCGAAATGATCAAAACGATAGTAATTTTTTCGCGTTGAAACCATTTTACTTATTTTTTTTTGGGTATAATTTCATGAGAAAAAAACGAGAAATTAGTTTTATAATTTGACTAAGGTTCACATTTTCAATTACTTCGGCTAATATTTTTTTCTGCTGGATCAGTTGAATGACATGCCTGACCATGTTGCTTGAATTTGATTGGCTAATATTAGCCAATCAAATCTGCCGCATTAATTTTAGCTAAAAGATTTTGATTTTGGGCCGTTTTGGGCATAAGACCCAAGTTTTGCCGATAGTTGAAGTTTGATTTTTGTTTGGTTCTTGCCCAATAGCAGGGACAAAAGTTTCGGTAAAAATGGATTTTCAAATAAATTATGTTCCAACGTTCGAAGAAAGTGAGTTGAGATCTATGCTTGGTAGCTTCTTTTTATTCGGTCAAATTTATGTGATCAATGTAATAACTTTTACCAAAAATTTTTTATACCCCGTTGAAAATATCTACACCATGAGTATACCTTTAGAAAGATATTTTTACCTTCAATTTAATTTTTCAATGTTTTGGGGCTCCGAAAATTTCCAATTTGATCATGCTTTAGTCTAGTTTATGGGAGCTATGTGGATTTTTCTAACGATGCAGAAAGCGTAACACGAACTATTGATGCATGACGAATTATAAAGCGCTACAAAATCGTTCTAATTTGAATTGAGGTGAGCTCACTGCGGGCGTACTGGCAAGCATATGTGCCTATTATCTTGTAATAATTGCTTTAATTGTGTGCATCGTGACGAAAAACCTTGTTGCCTAAATTTTCTTTTTTAGCTGAGAGAATTGAAATTTCGTTTCCAAGCTTTTATACATTCGACAGAGTGAATGCTGTTCAAATTTTCAAATTCAATAAAGAACGCTTGAATTAGCAGACGAGTCAGCTTCACTCTTTAACATGAGCATTTTAATCGACCCACATGCTAATTTTCACACTTGGTGTTTGATTTTGTCCAAAACTTATAGCTTTTCAATAATTAACTTACCAAAAAACCAATTAAGGGTAGTCGGAACTTTCGTGGCTTCGCCCTGATTTACGAGCAGTTTTGTCTAATGTGATTTATTGTTCCGACTTTCGATACGAAAGTAACGTAATATTTGTGCTCGGGGTGGGTTTTTTTTTTCTTCAGACAAATTTCGACTTTTTAACAAGCCATTTTTGACGGAATTTTTTTATATCACTCAAAAAGTATTGTTGTCCTGAGCTTAAATTTGAAAAGATCTTTCACCTGTGATCATTTTTCGTAAAATTATGAGGGTTTAAAGATTGCCATTTTGGCCATTTTGACCAATTTGGGACAATTAACGCGCAATATAATTCGCGCTATTAACGCGTAAGCGGAGATTTAATCTGTCTTATAAATCGTTCCAAATTGGTTGAACGAAGCTTATTTGCCATAATTGATTTGTTACAAGGAACGAAACCTATCTTTTTGTACTTTATATGGCGTGTGGGGTGATGATTTTCATTAAAAAATTTCAAATTTAAGAAAAAAAAATTTCGTTTTATTTTATTTCATTCATTTTTTTATGTATTACTGCTGCTCAATAAACCTTAAAAGGCAGTCGGAACATTCAGGGCTTCGCCCTGATACGAGCAGTCTTGTTTCTTTACAAAACTAACACTTAATCATTTAATTAAATTTTTTGCTAAAGAAACCATCGCATCAAAAAAATTGAAAGAAACGGATTATGATTGGCTAAGATTAAAAATCTTGAAGCAAATGAACAGTCTCGCTCTTAATTGACTTAATTGATACAGGGGAATTAAGATCGTTTGGGGCTATTCTTTTAGCCGAAGAACCGAGTTGACCAAAATTTTCAAACAATCAACGTTTTCTGAAAATTTTGAAGACTAAACGCTCATCTCGCTTTTTGTTCCGACTTTCGATACGAAAGTAACGGAATATTTGTGCTCGGGGTGGGTTTTTTTTCTTCAGACAAATTTCGACTCTTTAACTAGCCATTTTTGACGGAATTTTTTTGTATCATTCGAAAGCCATTTTTGTCCTGAGTTTCTTGTCCTGAACAAGAAACTTAAATTTGAAAAAATATTTCACCTGTGATCATTTTGCGTAAAGTTAAGAGAGTTTAAAGATTGCCATTTTGACCAATTTGGGACAATTAACGCGCGATATAATTCGCGCTATTAACGCGTAAGCGGAGATTTAATCCGTCTTATAAATCATTCCAAATTGGTTGAACGAAGCTTATTTGCCATAATTGATTTGTTACAAGAAACGAAATCTATCTTTTTGAACTTTATATGGCTTGTGGGGGGATGATTTTTATACAAAATTTCGAATTAAAAATTTTTTTAAATTTAATAAATTTTTTATGTTATTACTGCTGCTCCATAAACCTTAAAAGGCAGTCGGAACATTCAGGGCTTCGCCCTGATACGAGCAGTCTTGTTTCTTTACAAAACTAACACTTAATCATTTAATTAAATTTTTTGCTAAAGAAACCATCGCATCAAAAAAATTGAAAGAAACGGATTATGATTGGCTAAGATTAAAAATCTTGAAGCAAATGAACAGTCTCGCTCTTAATTGACTTAATTGATACAGGGGAATTAAGATCGTTTGGGGCTATTCTTTTAGCCGAAGAACCGAGTTGACCAAAATTTTCAAACAATCAACGTTTTCTGAAAATTTTGAAGACTAAACGCTCATCTCGCTTTTTGTTCCGACTTTCGATACGAAAGTAACGGAATATTTGTGCTCGGCGTGGGTTTTTTTTCTTCAGACAAATTTCGACTCTTTAACTAGCCATTTTTGACGGAATTTTTTTGTATCATTCGAAAGCCATTTTTGTCCTGAGCTTAAATTTGAAAAGATATTTCACCTGTGATCATTTTGCGTAAAGTTATGAGAGTTTAAAGATTGCCATTTTGACCAATTTGGGACAATTAACGCGCGATATAATTCGCGCTATTAACGCGTAAGCGGAGATTTAATCCGTCTTATAAATCATTCCAAATTGGTTGAACGAAGCTTATTTGCCATAATTGATTTGTTACAAGAAACGAAATCTATCTTTTTGAACTTTATATGGCTTGTGGGGGGATGATTTTTATACAAAATTTCGAATTAAAAAATTTTTTAATTTAATAAATTTTTTATGTTATTACTGCTGCTCCATAAACCTTAAAAGGCAGTCGGAACATTCAGGGCTTCGCCCTGATACGAGCAGTCTTGTTGATTTTTAAAAATTGATTGGCGAACACTTTTTTCGGCCCTTCGGCTAAGAGGGATCACCAGATAGAATTGTTTATTCGAATATAAATGAATGTGATTTATACATTTCTTCAGAGATTGAGCAGCAAGCGGGAGAGAGCGGTGACCAACAGCTAGCTAGAAACTTTCAGGACAGATGTAAACTATTTTGTTATGCGAGACAATGTGAGCTGGTGAATGACAATCGACGTTTATCTTTTGAAGTGCTTTTCTTAATCTGTTTCAATGTTTGATTTCAAATCAATATTTAGATTTTAAATTTTTAATAATTCCAATTTTAATTTTACAGTTTAATACAAGTGTTTTTTATAATTTTATTTGTGAATAAAACTTTTAAATAAACCAACGTTTGATTTTCGAGCTTTAGATTTGTAAAGGTCACTCACTTGGGCTTCACAATTTAATAGACCATCGGCGAACAATAAGAAAGCAGCAGTAAACAAAGTTGTCAGCGTTGTTTCCGGGCCCATGTGGATCTTTTCTGTCTCAAAGTTGTGAAAATCTGATAAGAGCAGCAATGACAGGGCCAAAAGATAGGGCCGATGACAGGTAGAAAAAATTACCAAAAAAACATCATACAACCAAGTTAACATCCTACACCTCAAATCAATTTAAAGGAGAGCCCACATCTGAGAAAAGTGAAACGAACTCAATTAGTTATAATGAATTTTTCTGGTCTAAAATTTGGAATGAAATCGATTCTTATGTTGCCCTCAGGCCCAAAAGTCAATAGAATATCGATTATAATCCAATGTTTTGTAAAGTTTAAAACAAGTTATAATCCATTTTTAATCAAATATAATGGTTTTTTGTTTCGCGTCGAGCAAAATTTACCGCCTTACCCTCTTTTCAGACAAAAAACTTCTTTTTGTGTCGGCGCGCGATCCCGGTCAAAGAGAGTATTTTAGTCATAATACATTCATAATAAAACATTCATTCATACAAAATTATTCCCCTTCACGAAAGATAATTTTTGAAAAAAGTCAAAAAGCCATTTTGGGCTCTTTTTGAAGGTTTCGACTAAAAAAACTGTAATTTTTCAGCGATCGATTTCTCTCAAATTTAGTATATATTGGCGCTGAAGGAGCCTGTAGAAAAATTTAAGGGTCAGGCAGCCAAAAAAAGATATCTCAAAATAGCACAAAGAGGGAACCCTTTGCCTTTTGGGGCAGCAGGGATTTGAATACCTGAGGGGAGGGGCGTCTTAATACCGCTACGGACTCATTAAGCAAATCTTGAACGCGGCCTCACATATACAAAAAGGCGGACTCGCGACGACTCTGCACAAATTGATACAAACGTTGTCCACCTCGGATTTTCATCGCCCTCCTCTGCCACCCCCTCCCCTACCCCTAAAAGTTTTAAAATAAATTAAGAAAATGGTTGAAGACAAACAAATAAAAGTTGCGAGGTAAAAAATTGAAATTAAAAAATTAAATAGCAAGTTACCAACTTTAATTTGAAAAGTGAAAGTAACTTTTGTGCACAAAAAGACAAAAATATAGAATTTAATGGAATTTTATTGTCTTTAACTTTGAAAGTGAAAAAATAATCGATTACAATTGATTTACAATGAAATTAACTAAGGTGCTTTCTTTTATATATTAGCAAAACAATCCATTTCCAACACAGATGCAAAGCGGAGCACCACTTGCAAAACCTTACACACGTAGCATTGTATGATAGCAGACAGAAAATGATACAAAAGCCACCAAGTCGAAAAACAATTAGAAGAATTCAAAAAAGTACAAAATTTTCTGAAATTCGCCTGGAATGATGTTCAATTTAAAAACACAAAACTTGCGTTTACTAAGTATTTAGACAAGAAAAAATCGGCAACTAAGCCATCAAAAGTTGGCTAGACTCCCGTTGAGCAAAATTGTTTTCAATTGAAAAAGTTTTAAAAATTCCAAAAATCCAAATTTTTACGTTCACCTCTCCGGAAACGCAAAAGCAAAAAATCTATTTTTCTTTTAAAATAACGCTTAACTGGGTCATTTACTCGATAAAACATAAGCAAGCACAATTGGAGCCAAACAAACCTGCGAAAAAAAAATCAAATTGCTGTAACGAATAAAAACTTTTTCAGATACAATAAAAATTACTTACAGCCCAGCGAAAATCCGTTACAAGACAACTAAGCCGAGCAAACATAAATAGACACACAACAGGTCGACGCCTTTTCAAAACAGAAAGTTTTCCTTTACACCTCAGGCGTAGAATTGTTCTCAAAAAACTGAAAAGCTAATAAAAGCTAATGTGTACCTGAAAAACTAATAAAGAACATATGTGCCAGAAACTAGCGAGAAAATTCTGTGATGCGGCAACAACCGACAAAACATAATCAGACTAACGATAGCACGATATTTTTTTTAAAACGTGTTAGTTTGTCATCACAAACTTAAGACATTTCTTCTTAGAAGAACTATTAGTAGTAACCGTAGACCGGTAGAACTTAATTTTGCAAGCGTGCACGTGATTGAAGTCTAGTGATTCAAGTGATTTTGTTAAATAAGTTATTAACCCGAAAAAATAATATACATTCCAGTTTGATAACGCTTGGTTATCGTAAGCGCAATTAATTATAATCCGTTGGTTCATATTTTTATAGACGCTGACAGAAAAACTCAAATTAAATTAATTTTTATTCATGAAACGCCGGTGTGGGAGGGATTCTAACTTGGTGCAAAAGTCTCCAGGCATAGAAAAACTATCAACTCTTTGGTTTGATAAAAATGTTTAAATTCGTTTAGATAATACTATTTTTTGAATTCAGACACAATGCGGTAATTAAAAGCAAAACAGCGTTTGATAATTTTCAGATCAGATCTACAAAAAACAAATTGAAAAACAATTCATCTGCACTAAGTAAAAAGGTACTTCAAAACCGTGAACTTTTAGAAAAGCTCAAGATTTATCAATTTTTTTAAGCAATTTTTTAATAGAAAAAATTCTGAACGGTCTCAATTGCTTCCATGGCTAGATTAAATGAGTTAGGAGTTGGGCTGTGTATCTTGACTAACAAAAAAGCCAATTTTTGTTTGAAAATTGATTGAAATTGAAAGCTGAATTTTGATAATTCGAAAGCCAACGGTTTTTAGCTCAAGAGTTGCTTCCTCATTAGCAACAATAGGAAATCAAAAAATAAAAATAAAAATTTTGCAAAAATAGAAAAGTTGAAATATTCAATAAAGTTTTATTACAAAAATATTGAACAAAGAACGATTGGGCTGTTTGGGGAGGATATCGGGCAAGAGGGCGATGACCTCCCTCTTGAGTTTGAATCACTGCCGACCCAAAAGGTTAACGTTTTGGGACTATTCAAACATGCATTTGTGGCTGACCGACCCTCAGAATTTTTACTAGGCGCCAATATATACTAGTTTTGAAGGGATTTCTTGATCACAATTTTCACGCGACTCCTTGGTCGAAAGTTTCCAAAAAGTACCTGAAAATTCATTTTTGGACAATTTAGTCAGAAGAAGGTCTTAATATTCATTTGGAAGCGCTCAGAAAATCAATTTGGTCGACTTGTAAAAAGTGCCCCACCCCTCCAAAATATTGCAATTTTGCCCCTGATTGCCAACCCATGCAAGATAAGTGGAGAAAAGTCACTTGCATGTTTTTGTGTTCACGCCGGCAAAAGCTTGTTATAATTCATAAATACCGAACAACATTATTCAGTTTTACATAAGCCTAGAAAATAAGATTAGAAACACAACAAATGTGATCTGAAAAACCAAAAAAAAAATTCTAAAAAGAACAACAGTTTTGACAAAAAGAAATTTCGCAAGAACTTTCAAAAATCAATTCCAAAATAATTCAAAAACTTGAATTTAATTTTTATAAGTTCAACAAAAAAAGTTAAAAAAACGATTGAAACAAACAAACAAGAACTAAGCACTATTTATAAAAAATCAACTGATTTTAGACAGCTATGAAGCCAAAAAACGGCCGACTTTATTTTCCAAAAAAATTCCGATCAGAGAAGACCAACAACTTGACTGAAAAACGGTTAACCAAAAAATAAAACGAAACATAACCCAGTATTAAAGAGAAACGTTAACCATTGAACTACTTTTAGAAAAATGAAGCCCGAAAAAAATCAAAAACAATTAAATGTGAGAAAAAATAATACAATTTCTGAATTGGCGAAAAAAAAGGATAAATTCGTCTAGCAACTCTGAACAAAATTAGAGAAAATTTTGATATTGACCATTTCTAATTTGACAGCATTTCAAGCTTGCTTGATTCCCGGTTTTACCATCCTAACACAATGAAACTAAGTACAACTGGAGGAACAAAAATTTAGCAGACAGCAACTCAAACTGACTTGGCAAAACAATGAACTCGAGCAGCAATTTTAAATTAAATTATCAAAAAATTTGAATTTAACTATTTCTGATTTACTGGCATTTACAGGCTTGCTTTGTTCTCGTTTTTTAGATGAAACAGCTACTTTTCAAAACAATATGGGCTAAAAAAGCAAGAAGAACATTTTTCCTATTGTTGTAGAAAAGCTTAATAAACATAAAAAAAAGCGAAAACCAAGAAAAACCCACGCAAGAAAAATAATGATAAAAACAGCCGATTGAACAAACAAAAACCTAAAAGGTTGAAAGCAAAGTTATTTTGCAAAATCCAATCAAAAACAAAAAGAAAAAAGTTTCCGAATTTTTTTTTCAATTTCAAAAAAAATTAAACAATTATAATTTATTCAGTTTTAAAATTTTCATTTTTTATAAGAAACGATCTGGAAAAGTAATTTCAAATTGTCAGAAATATAAAAAACAGTCTTTTAAAAACGAATAAAAAGCGATTGAAAAAATTCATTGGGAAACTAAGCTGAGAGAATTAAAGCCGACACTCAAGTTCCGAAAAAGTACCGAAACTTTTTAGGACAAAAAAAAAACTATTGAAGGAGCTCAAAACACAATCACACAAGGCCCATACATAGCCTAACATGCACATACTGCATTTACCTTTACAGTAGAAACATCCAGAAGTTGTCCGCAGGATCTTTATTCTAGAAGTGAAGATCCTGTGGACAAAGTTGTTTACGGGGGAAAAGTCCAGTAACCAGTTGTAATACCCTTGCTTATCGCAAAGATAATTATCATTATTGGTGCCTGGACTTTGGGAGACAGGTTTTAGTATAGTGCAGTAGTGAAGACATTGCAATCTAACTAAAGGGTATGTGCAACGAATCCCATTAATTGCATTTTAAATAGAATAATACCTTAATTTTTCATTTTTCAATGAGTTTTACACTTCCCTTTTGACTAGTGCAT